GTTTAATGTGTGCCTCCTATGATCTTGAGCCCTACATGTGTTTTGAAGTATGTCATGCCATCTTTACAGGGGTGTATGCCATGTATTTTTGTGATCTTTGTGGTAACTAGCACAAGCATGAAAAGTAGCTCTCGTAATGTTGCTGATTTCGGGGACTTAGAAATCTTTCAAGTCTTTTCCCTGATAATATTTTTATGCCTTGTATTCTTGTTGCTACAGAGTGATCCATGCCTCTTTTGAGCATGTTCAGTAAGGATGATTTTGAGATATTGTTATGCTCTATCCATCCATGTCTTTGTTTGCAATTATGGAGCACCCTAGCATGACTCTATCTTGCTCTACTTTTGCTATAAAATGTTCCTCGCAGATTGTTTACATGTTAAGCAATTTTGCCGAGGTTGTTGTAGTTTATCCATGCATGCTATGAGAGTGTTCTTGCCATGGTTAGCTTATTCATCATGTATACTTGCTAGGTGTATGCTTAGTTTGTCATGCAATGCCTTGTGGTGAGTGCATCGAGCTCGCAAACATGCCTACGTAAATCTGTTTTGCCATGTTCCAGTTTTCTGCTAAGTGTGAATCTGTTAACGAAACTTGTTATGTTTACATGGTTGCCATTGTATCTTTTGATCCCTTTTGGCTTATGGTCAGTAAGGGACTTTTGTTGTATGCTTTGAGTAGCTTCATGCCATGCCTTGCTTTGCTATGATATGTTCCTGTAGCTTGTTGTTATCTTGTTCTAAACATTGCTTCCTGATATTAATTCCTGCCATGTTATTTTCACTAAGTCTGTGAACCTGATATCTTTTGCACTTTTGTCATGCTTGTTTGAACCTACTATTGTGTGATTTAGCCGTAGCTCAGTGTTCATCTTTTGTCAAGCATCTTGAGTGGATCACTGCCATGTGCTTTGTTGTTATGTGAGAGTGCAGTAGCTTGTTGTTCTTGATGCATTTAGATGGCCTCGTGCTGTTAATCGCAGCTTTGTGCCATTATTGTTTTGTTTGCCATTTGCAAACCGTGCATCCGATTCCGATGATCTTTATATCGATTTTGACCGAAATCAACTCATCTTTCCAGCGGCACCCTTGGTTTTCCAAGTTGAGGCTTGGTTCAATCTTTCCCTTCCGAAGCACGCTTATGCATTGCATTTCACATCTCGCATATCATGCCATGTTTTGCATCATGTTGCTTGCGCATTGCACCATGGTTGATTGTGGTTCCCTTTGTTTGTGATTTTGCTTTGGGTAGAGCTGGGAGATGAGTACGTGATCGAGGAACCCGTTGAGTACGTTTATGAAGATCAAGCTAACGTCAACTCGGAGAACTTTGCAGGCAAGATGACCATACCCTCGAAATCACTTCTATCTTTGCTTGCTAGATGCTCGCTCTATTGCTATGCCTATGCTACGATACCTACCACATGCTATATCATGCCTCCCATATTGCCATGTCAAACCTCTAACCCACCTTGTCCTAGCAAACCATTGTTTGGCTATGTTACCGCTTTGCTCAGCCCCTCTTATAGCGTTGCTAGTTGCAGGTGAAGATTAGAGTTTGTTCCTTGTTGGAACATGTTTATTGTTGGGATATCACTATTATACATTGTCTATTTTAATGCATCTATATACTTGGTAAAGGGTGGAAGGCTCGGCCTTATGCCTGGTGTTTTGTTCCACTCTTGCCGCCCTAGTTTCCGTCATACCGGTGTTATGTTCCTTGATTTTGCGTTCCTTACACGGTTGGGTTATAATGGGAACCCCTTGACAGTTCGCCTTGAATAAAACTCCTCCAGCAAGGACCAACCTTGGTTTTACCATTTGCCACCTAGCCTCTTTTTCCCTTGGGTTCTGCGGGCTCAAGGGTCATCTTTATTTTAACCCCCCCCCCCGGGCCAGTGCTCGTCTGAGTGTTGGTCTGAACCGAGTAGACTGCGGGGCCACCTCGGGGCAACTTGAGGGTTGGTTTTACTCGTAGGATGTCTCATCCGAGTGTGCCCTGAGAACAAGATATGTGCAGCTCCTATCAGGATTTGTCGGCACATTCGGGCGGTTTTGCTGGTTTAGTTTTACCTTTTTCGAGATGTCTTGTAACCGGGATTCCGAGTCTGATCGGGCCGTCCTAGGAGAAGGAATATCCTTCGTTGACCGTGAGAGCTTGTGATGAGCTAAGTTGGGACACCCCTGCAGGGATTTGAACTTTTGAAAGCCGGGCCCGCGGTTATGGGCAGATGGGAATTTGTTAATGTCCGGTTGCAGAAAACCCAAAACTTAACTTAATTAAAATGGATCAACAGCATGTGTATCCATGATGGTCTCTTTTCGGCGGAGTCCGGGAAGAGAACATGGTCTCGTGTTATGCTTGAACGTAGGTTGTTCTAGGATCACTTCTTGATCATAGCTTCTCGAACGTGCTTTGCCTTCTCTTCTCGCTCTCATTTGCGTATGTTAGCCACCATATATGCTAGTGCTTGCTGCAGCTCCACCTCATACCTTTTACCCTACCTATAAGCTTAAATAGTCTTGATCGTGAGCGTGTGAGATTGCTGAGTCCCCGTGACTCATAGATTACTTCAAAACCAGATGCAGGGACTGATGATACCGTTTCAGGAGACACGACTGAGCTCAAGTGGGAGTTCGATGAGGACTCAGGACGATACTACGTTTCCTTTCCAAACGATCAGTAGTGGAGCCCAGTTGGGGCGATCGGGGACATTATGTATTTGGGGTTGTTTTTATTTTGGTTCCGTAGTCGGACCTTGATTGTATCTGGATGATTGTAATGATATATTTGTGTTATCGTGTGACATGGCGAGTGTAAGCCAACTATGTACCTCTTTTCTTATTCAGTACATGGGATGTGTAAAGATTACCCCTCTTGTGACATTGCCTACAATGCGGTTATGCCTCTAAGTCGTGCTCCGACATGTGGGAGATATAGCCGCATCGTGGGTGTTACAGGTACGCACCATAGACCCGTTACCAATTCTCCAAATAAAATCATTTTTCACTAGTTGAAGGCCATATTCAATACCTTTCCAAGCAGGCAAAGAATTATCCGAAAATACCGTGTCTAGAAGATTCCCATTTGAATAATATTTTGCACGAAGCAGGGCCAGCACATAAACTATCAGGAGTTTTAATTAATCGCCAAGCTTGTTTAGCTAACAAGGCTTGATTAAAACCCCGCATATCTCTGAACCGCATACCATCCTTAGACTTTGGAAGAGGCATCTTATCCCAACTAAGCCAAGCCATGTTCCTCTTTCCTTTCCTAGTTCCCCATCAATCTTCCTCATCATACGTGTCAGATCATCACAGACGGAAAAAGGCAATTTGAAAACGCTCGTAACATAAATGGGAATCACGTGTGCAACAGAGATAATTAAAATCTCCTTATTACCTAAAGAAATGAATTACTCACTCCAGTCGACCATTCTCTTTCTAAGACTTGCTTGAGTTATTCCAACTCTCCCTTTATGCATCCTTCCTTCTGGCACAAGAACTCCCAAGTATTTTGGCTCGAAAACCTCTTTTGTGATACCCAGAATACCTCCAATCCTAGTTGTCACCGACTCTGAGCAGTTTTCAGAAAATAGGACGAAACACTTCGAAGTGGGACCGTAGTTGCTACATACGTGTTCAACAAACCTTTGACAATCGTGGCCTGCTGCTCAGAGGCTTGGAAAAACAATAAAGAATCATCTGCAAATAATAGATGAGATATCACATGTGAACGTCTACATATCTTCACACCCTCCAAACTCTCCTCCGTAATTGCTTTATTAACAAGAGCAAACAGAGCATCAACCACAAAGAGAAACAAAAACGGAGATAATGGATCACCTTGACAAAGCCTTCGTGATGGCGAGAAAGAATTCAGGAGCTTCCCATTAAACTTCACTGGATATCTCTCTGAGCACACACACGACATCATCCAAAACCCACTTGTGCGAGAAACCCCACTTGGGTAGAGCCTTCTCCAGAAACTCTCAATCCACTCGGTCATATGCCTTAAAAAGATCAAGCTTATAAGCATAACATGCCTTAGAAAGATCAAGCTTATAAGCATAACATGCCTTAGAAAGATCAGAGGATGTTGTTAACAATCTTTCTCACACACATAAGCCCATATAGGTTCTAGGAGGATATATGTCTCTGGAGCTAAGCTTTCGCCATATTTTTTATATAAAGCAACCGTCACAGTTATACAAACGTACAAGCACCGGCACAAATATTCATATAGTGATGTGTGGTTTTAATCGTTATGCTCCACATTTCAAAATATAAATAAATTTGGCTCAAGTATTTTCCTGGCATACCATACCATATTAATTTTATAGTAAAAGCACATGGTCAAATATACCATATTAATTTTATAGTAAAAGCACATGGTCAACCAAAAAAGAAAATCAAGCTAGAAGTCCCACATAAAACAAAATTCTTAGTTAATAGATCCAGAAAATGATAGATTTTTGAAATCACCTTTTTACATTATGAACAACCGACAAATCTGAATTTTGCCTTCATAGACCAATTTAACATCAAATAAGAACAACCTCAAGCGTGTGCTCTAAATTTTCTTTTTTGGTGTGTACTAATCTAATGTCACGTACATACAACACACATGTTTATAATTGTGGTACTCTTTTTGGAAATGGAACGTTCAAATTATGCATCCGCAAATTAAAGCTGATCAAATATATATAGTTCAATCAAATGGGATTAGAACCATCAAATTGTAATTCAATCTGTGTACACTTTCTTTTTGCGGGGAATTTGTATACACTTTCGAGTTTCGACACATTTAAGATAATGCGAGGGCCACTTGGCTAGTTAAAAAATAATAATATTTCGCAAAAAAAAAAAAATTGGATTCGCTACGAGAAATTTGTTCGAAGTAGAGTATACTAGTTTTTGTGGATATCGATGGCTAACATTGGCTTATTTGAGTCCCCGGAACAAATATGCATGCAGTAAATATTTCTTGTCTTGCCGTATCTACTTCGGAACAGTGGCCGTGATGAGGAAACCATCGCCGTCGGGCATGACGACGACGAGCCCTTCGTCTCCGCCCGACACGATCCTGTACGACACATGCACGGGCTTGACGTCCCTGATGGTCAGCTCCTCGAGCCCCAGCTCGCCCCACTCCGCAGCTTCCAGCGCGTGGCCGGCGCCGCCCTTCTTCAGGCCGTCCGCCGTGACCGACGTCTCGACGGTCGTCGCCCCGCGGGCGGGGTCTCCGGGGGCGACGACGAGCGTGAAGCGCGACGGCCTGTCCGCGCCGAGCTCCTCGCTCGCCCGGTCGATGCAGGCCGCCGCGAGCGCGCGGGGGTCGCCGGCCGCGGCCCTGAAGAGCACGGTCTGGGCGTGGATGCCGTCGGCGGCGACGGAGTGGACGGGGAAGGACCGGATGCGCTTGCAGCAGATCTCCGGGCGCTGGAAGTAGGCCATGTACTGCATCATGGGCGTGGGGGCGACCTTGCCCTGCTCCTTCATCTCGGCGTGCGTGCGCGCCCACGCCCGGAGGAACCTCGCCAGCGACAGCGGGTCGGACAGCAGCACCGTGCAGCTGACGCCGATGGCGTACCCACCGCCCTGGAACCGGTTCAGCTGCAGCGCATGCACACGAGGTCGATCAGGCCACCAGAATACATGCACTTTTTTTCGGATAATAATAATTTGAATAAACGGGAATAAAAGTGAATGTTACGACGGCCTATTAGTACTCCTTCCATTCTAAAATATAGTGTGTCTGCGCTTTTTGAGGTTCAACTTTGACCATAAATTCAACCAACGAGACCAACTGCGGCGGGAGAAAAAAATTATATAATTGGAAACTTCTTTCGAATATGAATTCACTGATATAATTTTTTGCTTCCGCCACAATCGGTCTTGATAGTTAATTTTACGGTTAAAGTTGAAGTACAGAGATAGAGGAAGCATTATATTATGGAATGAAGGGAGTAGTAAGACTGTAGAGGAGGGTGGAATAGAGGCCCACTGTGTCGCTCGTGGACGAGTGGGCACGCCCGCTCAACGGTGCACTGCATTGAATGAATCGCATTCAACACGTCAGGTTGTTATTAGGTTTGGCCATTGAATGGGTTGCATTCCCCAGACGTCACTCACATGATGCATGGCGCCCGCCGCGGCCGATGGATGTCTCTGTTGTTGGTACCGGCATATTTAACTTGGTCGGCGACGTTTATCGGCCATATAAATGCGTGGTTACTTGGTCTAAGACTCGGCCATGAAAGAGTAAGCTGGTTTTGGCTAGGGGAAGAAGGAGGTCATGTAGCAGACGTCATGTGCAACAAACAGCAAGCCGGTTTTTAACAAACTTGTCAACTACTGAGACCACTTTATTTTCTTGCCCGAAAAGAACCAAGCGTGCAACCGCATCTAACTGACAAAACATTTCCAGCAAGAGGATCGAGGTATACTACCCAACGGTGATGATGGTCGCTACTCGCTAGAGATGAACTTTTTTATTCGTTCACAAAAGAAAAGAAAGAAGATGAACATTTTTGGTAGTTAGGTTAGGCCGAAATACACACACATATGTACGTATATATTGATTTGACTGGTTAGCCGAGCAGCCAGTCAGACACCGCTATAAATGCCGAACATGAACCTCAGATGTGTACTTACTAGGGTTCCCAGATGTAGGGTGGGTAAATAAATGGGTGTCATTTCTGTTTGGCAGGGGGGAATTCACCGAAAAGTGATCGCAGAGGCCGAGCTCCACTGAGCTCTATATACATTTCTCAGCCAAAATACATTTTTCATAACTCAAAAAAATCTGAAAAAATGTTTTCATATAGACATATACTTAAAGTATACGTGTACAAATTTTCATAAACATATGTATTTATATGTGATGTATACAAAAAAGACAAATACACAGATTAAAATAGCTTTTTCTTTGTTGTATTTGTGTCAGATTTTTGTCTTTTTTGTGTAGCATTCAAATGATCAAATTAGTTACTGAAAATTTATACATACTTAAAGAACATGCATATGTTTTTGTACAACAAAAATTGGCATTTTTTAAAACTTTTAAATATATTTTGATTTTTTTTTGGTAAAACGGGCTCCCTGGAGCCCAGTCTCTGCGACGCCTCACTCGGAATTCACGGACTATACTGGTGTCATATCGCTATCTATACTGGTGTTTAATCAGGTGCGCCATGAACTGGGCAAGGATTCCCGAAGAGTTCTTGGCTGGTCTAGGTTAAAGAAACTCGCGCGCTCTTAAAGCAACTTCAATGAGGCGACTCATTTTGTCTGTTTGGGTCTTCCGGATATGAAAGCTGGCCTAATAGGGCGACCCAAACAGACACAGTGTCCGCTCGCTGTCCGTTTTGTGTTTGCTCGGACCCATTTTCATCTCAAATGTGGGACACATTTGGGTCGGAGGCGGACACAAAGCGGACGCTTTCTGTGGCCTCCTCGTCCGCCTCCCCCCGCTGCATGCGAACACTGGCCCATCTGTCATTGAGGGCCACCCACCCATCCCACCCCCGTCTCTCTCCTTTTCTCTGCAGATGCGGGCATGGCGCCGGCTGCTTCGGCCTCCATCACGAGCGAGGCGTCGCTTCTTCCTCCCGTTGCCAAGCACAAGCAGCTGTCGGCGCAGCGCGGCCAAGCGCTCGTCGTCGCTGTCCTACAACCACGTGCACCATCGGCAGATGGCCGCGCGCGTACGCCGTTGGTCAATACTGCATGCTGGTGCTGCTGCCCGCGGCACGCGTGCTAGCTAGCTAGCCGCCGCTGCCCAGCGTGCGTGCTGGTGCTGCTGCCAGCCGCCGTTGGTCGCGCGCGTGCTAGCTAGCCAGCTGCCGCTGGTCGACGCGCCGCGGCGTCACCTCGCTCCGCCCGTCGTCGACGCGCCGCGGCGTCGCTTCGCCCCGGCCTTGCCTCACCGCTCTCAACTGCGCCCGGCCGTGCCCGTCCTCGCCTCGCCGTACCCGGCAGTGCTCGTTCTTGACTCCTGCGGCCTTGCCTCGCCGCGCTCGTTCCCGACTTGGCGCGGCCTCGCCTCGCCGCGCCCGGCCGCCCGGGACGGGGCGGGAGCTCGTTGGATGACCGGGCGAGAGCTGCGGGGCGGTAGCAGCAGGGTTGGGCCAGCTGCGGCAGCAGCGGCGAGCTGGCGCGGCAGGCGAGGTGATGCCGGAGCTCGCCTTTCAAGTGTTCGACGAAATGACGACATGGACATGTCTAAAATGCATCCGGCGCCCGTTGGACACACCGACCGACCCAAATAAAAAGACGGATGCGGACACGCGGACAGGTGATCCAAACGGATAAAAAAGGGACAAAATCTGTGTCCGTTTAGGTCGTTCAATTGAAGTTGCTCTTACGTACACGCCGGTATACGAGTTACCGGACTGTCAGTGACTTGTAGTATCTTTCTTTTGTTCCTGATCCTTGCACTATCTCAAAGGGAAGCTCCGGCTGCGAGCCTTTATGTTTGTGATGTTTACGTTAGCAATCAACCTGTAATCCAGGCACCACCCGGTCCTGGATCGTACCCAACTTGTTTCTGTGTGGCCTAAATTTTTTTTGCTAATACCTTTCATCATAAATATTTTTGCTGATTCTCAGAACTAAAGGTTTTTGTAAATCCAAATGACGTGTGCAAATCTAGCAAGATGCTTGTGTCTATTTTTGTAAAACATATATTAGAACAATATAATGGTTAGACGTCGATCTTACAGTTCAGAAAAATAGCCGAAATTTTAAACATTGTCAGAAGCTGGTGCGCGTGCATATACCTGCATGAAGAGGAGCGAGCACATGTCAGGATCCTCCGCGCTCACGTCGACCCACGGCGCCAGCGCGGCCTCCTTACGCGCGCGCTCCTTGTCCGCCAGGAAGTCCTCCATGGTCACCTCCACCGTCGCCTGCTGGAACCTCACTCCGGCGTCGTTCAGCTTCACCTCCCACGACCCGTCGGCGTGCCGCCGGAGCCTGCCCGCCATCTCCGGGAAGAAGCACAGCACCTCGCCCAGGGACTCCTTTACCAATATACCTTCCTCCAGCGGCGCGTCGTCGCCGCGGTAGTAGAAGACCGCGCGGAGGCGCCGCTGCAGCGCGGTCGCCGGGAGCGGCGGCGCGGCCACGGCTATGACGCGCGTCCTGTCGGGCTCGACGACGCGAGTCGGCAAGCCCGTCTGCACGGACTCGATGTGCACCTGTGGCGACGCCGGCGTGGCTGCCATTCTTGGAGCTCGGTCGGCTGCGTGCGCCTCGACGGCGGTGGCCTGGTGGGTTTCACGGCTCGTCCAAGGATATGCTTGCTGTACTACTTGGTGGATGTCTGGAACAGAGGAGGTCCCCTATTTATATCATATATGATGGTGTAAATACGACTGGATTGTTCCAATATTAAATGCTGCGGGCGCCGATGGCAATGTGTATCAGCAATGCCAGGGCAAGAACTTCCACGGTGCGTTTGGATTTAGCCAAGTCCACCTCGTCAACGCTTTTTTGAGTCAAAAAATATCTGTTTATGTTACCCTAGCTCATTATTTGGTCAGTTTTAGCAACAACAAAAACTAGAGGCGGAGAGATCTTCTATATCACGAGCTAAGTGTAACTCGAATGGTTAGATTCTCGATGGTGAAATCAGCCCATCAGGGTTCATGTCTTAGGCTTGGCACTGATGCTCACATTTTTCTAGATTTATTTCAGTCTTTTCAACGAAGTTCGTTCAGTGGAGAGGAGACGTTGCTATCGACTACGAGGCGTCTGTAGTGGCTTCATCAATCTTAAGATGTAGCTCAGTCATTTATAGTCCCTTGCTATTTGCTCGGTTAAAAGATAAATGATCTATTGCATGACATTGTCATACATTCATTAATGAATAGATTAGCAAAGGTGTAGAATCCTTCGTTATTATCCTTGTGCTGAAGCTACGATACCCGTCATGATCATGTATGTTATGTGGATTTTGATCCTTTGTGATGCGTTGATTCATTTAATTTATCCGTACCTCGTGAACACGATGAACTTGTTCTTGCAAGTTACGGGATTTGCTCAGAGATGAGCAAAACTCTAAGCTTGGGGAAATTGATGAGTCAAATTTCGTACTACTTTTTACTTCGAGATTTGTGTCATAGACTTAGGTTTTGTCGGAACTTTTTCGCGCTTGTGCACATCTTCAGGATCCTATTTGTGAGGAGTTTTGAGGCATTAGAAGGAAAGTAAAAGAATATGGGGTAAAAATCAAGTCAATATACGTGATAGGAACCAACCATATGAAGCCACAAGCAACCACGAGGAAAACCTACTGCATAGCGGATCTAGAGGAGAAAACATCTGGTATGAGCGGTCATAACCACCGCCGCCTTCTCCTCCTGATCGACTATGTGACCCCCATGTCTTCGGACTGGGGATACGAGATACAGAGAAGCCAGAAACTCCATCAAATCAAAGAACCCTAGCCTCCGAAAGGGATCCGGAGGGGGTCCGGCAAGAAGGCTCTCACCCAGCATAACCTCATTGAAGGAGAGTCTGGCATCAACAATCGTCATCACCATCCCTTCACCATATCTTTGTAATACCGAACCCTACTACGTACTCGATGTATTACTTTGATCTATCATTCATGATTACGACAATTATCCATATGATGTTGTCTGTCTTTATGTCTGAGTTATCCCTAGTTCTCGGGGATATGAAGGTGCCCTAGTATGTATATAGGTGTTGAATGCATATAGGATATTAAATCCCCATTTGTATGTTGAGTTAATAACCTTCATGAATGTTACGTAAGGGGCCCCACTCAACATTCTCGACTTATGGTCATGGAGTGTATTACTGTTGTTGTAAAGGTAGGGATATGGAGGTAAAGAGGTGAGAGTAATATCCTCTCATCTTCCCCTTTGCAATTGATAGGGAAATAACAAAGAACCGACCATTGGTTGTGTCCATGGGGTGACTCTTAATTATCATTTCCATAACATGGATGTGGGGAGGAACGATAGTGGTGTCTGTGATAAAAAGAGTACACATGTAGCTCATATATCGTACCAGGCTCTGCCCATTATAAACATCAACGAGAGGCTTGATTATCTGAACCTAGAACTATGCAGTAGCATATGTTACGTTAGACACATACTAGTGAGAAATCCACATTCTCAAGTGCTTTTATTTTAGCCCAACTGTTGATTTCATTATTTCCATACCCTTAGTTACCCATTTACCTTTCTCAAGTGCTTTTATTTTCATTCACATTTTTTGTGGGGATTTTCAGTCACATTTTATCCTTACAACTACAAACTTTTCTCAAGTACTTTTACAGTCACATTTTATCCTTACAACTACAAACTTCTGCAACCCTATGTTCTAGGCCTTAACTAACTTGCACGAATGCTTTATAGACATCTATACTCTTACTTAAAAAACTATAACTAAACCATGTGCACTTGTGGCTATGAAGCTTTTTTCTGGTGCCCTTGCCGGGTAGCTCAGCGCTTTTGGTTTTTTATTTTAAGTTGTAATTTATTATTGTGTACTAAGTTATTTGTAGGTCTAGGCAACCATGGCCGAGTTTGCACATGTGTACCAACTCGCCGCAACTAGGGCCACCTATCAATTACAACTTAATATCTCTAGGGCAGAGACCCAGTGGTGAACTTATGAAATCAACCCAAGTTTACTCAATTTGCTGCAGATTAAACAATTTACAGGGGATGGTAAAGAAGAAACATACCAACATGTGCAGTTTTTATGAGATATGCGGGACATTTAAACTTAATTAATGCTTTCACCTATGATAAAATGAAACTAAAATTACTAGGTCATACTCTAACCACAAAAACGAAAGCATGACTACTTATTCACCCTGTAGATACATTTGCCACCTAGGAGAAATTATCTGGCACGGTCCATGCTCGCTTTTATCCGGAAAGGAAAACTTATGAAGCAAGACACATGATTGGAAACTTCCTACGAAAACCAGGTGAAAGTTTGGTTAAAGCTTATCTAACGTAGTGTTATCTTCTTGATCAATGCCCTCACCGTAATTACCCACCGTGGATGATACTGCATTTCTATTATGGAAGCTTGGATAGCCAGTATAAAGGAACAATATACCTTGCATCTGGAGGGCCATTTATGGGTTTACTCAAGCTTAGGGGTTGTTAGATAGAATTTGATTAACCAAGAATCTTGGGATTTAGGTTTTTGTAGACACTCTTGGGATTTAGATAAAGCAAGTAAAGGAGGAGTAGATCCGATTATGGTTGTGTTAAAATTTACTCTGAATCCGGTCAGATAAAAGACTTGAGTGAAGATTTTTCATGTGGACTCTGACATTGTTTTGTAGATTATAAAGATTTTTCTAAGCACTTACGGGTCCCCAAAGAAAATTGGGGTCACTACACCAAGAAAGCCAAGGAGGCAAGGTTGGTGTCATTCATAAATAAAATTGCAATGTTTCAGATGCGCCCAAAATTCAGCATTCTCAGAGAAAGACACAATGGGAAGGAAATAATATCATGCAAAAGCACAAGAAGAAGGTAAATGTGAGTCAATGTGGAATTAAATCTCATATAAAAATTATCAAGGAGCTTGTTGTACCTAAAGCGGTAGTCGATAATGATATATTATTGGATAAAGACACAACCACCTATATTAATGGGTGCACAGAAGGCAAGGTCTCAAGTAAACCTATCTTATCATGTTCCTTCAGAGGCACATCTTGCTTTGGCTTGCGTGACTTGAGATCTCCTGTCACTATTATTCCTTATAGCCTTTATGCTAAGATTATGATGATATAAGGTAGAACATCTTGTACTTGATACTCCATCACGTCAATATAATCAAAGCAAGACATAGGGTTTCACCTCTTCGATAGGGCCTGAACCAAGGTAAACATCGTCTGCCTTCGTACCATGTTACCATTGTTCCTAGACCTACACCTCGGGACTCCCTACCCGAGATCCGCCGGTTTTAGCACTGATACTACTCCATTGAAAATGTATCACTAATGAATTGGACTGATGCATGTTTGGTTGAGCATGGATATATATGCAATGTAATTAAATATCACAAGCCACATGATACTAGTACACAAAACATGAAAATTGCTAATTAGTCCTTGAATCATGAAATAGAAATACTTACTCCTTGATGCATGCATGTAGGGGGAACGAACAAGAACATACAAAAACGTACAAAAGCATCAAGAATGATTGAATTGATATGCTTGAAGACAAAATAAAGCAAGAAAGAGGGTGCAGTTGAAGAAGAATAGACCAGGCATCTGAGCTCATGAGACGACGAGGAAGGAGGAGCCCAATGATACATCTCAAATGTATCTATAACTTTTATTGTTCCATGATATTATTTTATCACTTTGTGTATTTTTATAGCATTTTATATTACTTTTTTTGGACTAACCTATTAATCTAGTGCATAGTGCCACTTGTTGTTCTCTGCATGTATTTGCTTTACAGAAAATCCATATCTTCGGAGGTCAATATGTCGTGTGAATTTAATATGATTTTTTCAAAGCATGAAGGTTCCAGGAAGCATTGGGAGGCAACAAGAAGATGCAAGGGGGCCCACACGGCCACCTGACACCGCCAGGCCCTAGGGCACACCCCCTAGCTATGTGGGGCCCACACTTACCGCCATTCGTCCATTCCACCGCCACAAATTCCTATAAATAGAGACACCCTCCAAGATATTTTTATTCAATTTTTTCTACCGCCGCAAGCTTCTATTCAAGGGAGATCCAATCTAGAGGCATGTTCCGATACTTTGTCGGAGGGGGAATCCATGGCGGAGGCTTCTTCACCTTGTTGCATGCATGACCATGTGTGAGTAGTTCCCTTAGGACCTTAGGGTCCATATTAGTATCTAGATGGCTCTCTCATTTAGATCTTCAACCATGTTCTCGTGAGCTACCTCACGGGGTCAATTCGACGTAATTCATGCATGCGTTTGTTGGGATATGACAAATTGTCACTTTATGATTAGATTGTTCACTTAATATAACTGAATCTTTCGAGGTTTTCTTGTTGTATAATTAAATAGCTTTGCATGCTCCCCTATCTATCTATTTCTACATCCAAGTTTGATGGGTTTTTCTTCAAGAGGAGTGGTGCTTTGTAGTGGGTTCAATCTTGCGGTGCGCTAACCCAGTGACAATAAGGGCCCACACACTAATTGTATGGTTGCCACTGAGGATAAAACAGTGGTGTCTCGGCAT